ATAGGAGTTCTTAAATTTTAGAATGCATTAAACAAAAGCTCTAGGACCTTGAAGTCTTTTGTTTTGGTCGCTCCATTTGCGAATTTCGAGTTTTCGATACCGTAATTTGGTTAGGAAACCCAGTACGAAACATTCGATTTGTATTGTATTAATTGGTATGACAAAGCTGAGTATCTACGCCGATCATTGCGATTGACGCTGTATTATTTATTGAAACAAAATGGCATGGGCCGGGAAATTTGATTGATTTGTGCAAAAATTAGCAGGTTTGGTCTGGCTAGACGGTCGGTTCTAGTTAAAGTTCTATGGCAGACCCCACAGAATCACTGTGATACTCAGGAGAGAATTTCCAGAGAGTTGCACCTACATGTTTTCTGCAATGGCGTATCTTCTAAGATATCTTCAAAGCTTCTCGAATAAGAGACCCGCAATTGTTTCAGGCAGGGCACTGGAATAGGCAGTGCTGGAGGGAGTGTATCTATTCCTTATCTCTACTGCTTTTATAGAAAAAGTTACGCGGTCCTCCGAATCTGACGCCCACATGAATAATGTTCCATCACGTTAGTAGTCCAGTGAGAGGCTGAACATTCGGTTTGAGAGTAAAAGAGCAGTGGACAATGTGAGCGCGATACAGTACAGTGTGCAGATTAATCCAACTGCTGTTGGGAGAAATCGCTCCCGTTGATGTTGATAACATAATATTTGGGATGAACCATCATACCAACGCGCCATAGATGAGAGAGAATATGTCTAACCATCGCTGTACATACTCAGCATATTACCGGCGTTCGTATACTTCGATTCTTTTCAATTGCAGTAGTGGAGAAAACTACGCACTTTCCTTCTCGCTCTTTAAAACATTGCCTCTATTTATTTGCCATTGGGTGATGAAGATGTCTATCCTATATTGTTTCATGAGTATAAGTAGTTCAGTTTGAAGGGACTACCCCCAGACCATTTCCTTCTGTCCTCCTTGTACTCATTAAGTGCAGGTTGTAGCGTCGAGTTGTACTTATCTACGAGCAGAATAAGTTAGTCCTCTGAGTATGGAACTACTTTAATAGATTTTGATATAGTGTGAAGTAGAATTTCGTTTAACAAAAGGTTTCATAACAGAGAAGATAGAACCTCTTCCTGGGTAATACCTAAGCAGGTTTTTGATTCGAAAATAATCAACGATTTTCATCCCACAGTAACCACAGAGGAGTGGATAGATATAAAATGGTTGTTGTGCTCTTTTCACATAAGGGCTCCTTATATAAACCAGGCTAGAGTGTAATTTGCAAATTTGTTGTTTACATCAAACCAACCCTATAGTATATTCCGCCCGATCCTAGTGGGAACTTTGGCAAATGGTTTTCAACAATGATGCGCTTGCGCTGGTTGGAACAATGATACGCTTTTGCGGGGTTATTTACGTCATATTTTAAGCTCATATTTATTCCAGTGATTAGTTTCGTGTAGTATTTTTGTGTGATATAGAATTTGATTAGTAGGTCCAGGTTATATATTTATATTTACTTATATGCACTTCTCAAATGCCTTAAAGCAGACCTGGCCGCTGCCATAATTCTTCTTGCAAGTCTTCACCTATGATGTTTTATATGTATATGTAAATATTATGCATCCAATAGAGAATGAATAAATGTATGTAAAAAAAAATTTTTAACACTTACAGCAAGAAGATACGTTGGGTCTACCAAGTGTACCTACTACTAATTCGCTTCATGAAAGATGACAGTCGTAATATAAAAAGTGGCCTCATTTCGCTGGGACTTTTTATGGTAAGAATAAAAATATTGTATGCACAGCACTTCTCATTAAAAAAAAGAAGAATTTCTAAAAACGAAAATTGTTTCCAGGTTACCTCAATGACCCTTGCCATTATGTACTCGGGCGTAAGCGGCCTCACACAGACTTCAGTGCAAGATATTGCCGGCTCCATATTTATGGTATCCAATGAAATGATATTCACCTTCTCTTATGGCGTCACCTATGTGTTTCCCAGCGCACTGCCAATTATGCGACGTGAAGTGGGCGAAGGCACTTACAGTCTATCAGCCTATTATGTGGCTGTCGTATTATCATTTGTACCGATGGCTTTCTTTAAAAGTTACTTATTCTTCTCGGTTATCTATGGTGCTGTCTACTATACAAGAGGCTTTATGCTTTACCTGTCAATGGGTTTGGTTTTGGGTCTTTCTGCTATTGCGGCTACCGGTTACGGTCTCTTTCTATCCAGTTTCTTTGAGACCGTTAATATGGCTTCAGAGTGCGCAGGACCATTCGATTTACTATTTCTAATATTTGGTGGCGCTTACTATAATGTGGACTCGATACCGTTAATTAAGTATTTATCATTGTTCTTCTACTCCAATGAGGCTTTGATGTATAATTTTTGGATTGGTGTGGATGAGATCGGTAAGAATATGGCATTCGATTTTGATGAACAGTTATAAATAAGGATTGTAAAAATATATTTTATGCTCTCATTTGTATACAGATTGCCCTAAAAAGTTGGATCATCCGTGTTTCCAAAATGGTTTGGAGGTTCTAAAGCGTGGTTCTTTCAAAACGGCCGATTACACTTACTGGGTGGATTGCTTGGGTCTGCTGTGCGTTGCTGTTATTTTTAATATAGTCGCTTATTTCTTTATAAAAAAGTATGTGAAAAGAAGTGGTTACTATTAAGACACTAAGTTTTTTCACATAAATTTGTTTTCATCAGAATTTGTATGAATACAGCCACTACAATTTAACCTTAAGACACTATTGGCTTATATTTGCATTAAAAATGAATGTGGTTTATTTAGATAGTGTCCTTTAATCGCGTATTTTTCTCGCCAAAGCTTTGATTATTAAATAATTATAACTGAAGCAGGTTTTACAATTTTTTTCTAAAAAAGGCAACCTCTGCTGAACACACAAACTTCTTGTACGCACGCCTTCTGCCTCCCTTTTCTTTCTCTGAGAAAAAAAAAAAACGCCGTGCTTTCCTCTTCAACACATGATAGTGCGACTGTTGCATCCGACCGCAGTGTGGGCCCACCTACATCAAATTGGTTTACAGGCAAAATGTCTGTATTGTTGCATTCTACTAAATGTACTATGTACAATGTACTACAAGGCGTATGAGTGACATTACTTGATTAACAGGGCCGTTCTGGTTTGTAAGACGGTTGAAAGCCAGCAGGCAAGTTAGTTTGAAAGATTTTGTTTATTCTGGCAAGGAAGTCTTACAAAAAAGCTCCTTTTAAACTTTTCACGGCGAAAAGCATGTTTGACAGAAAGCACTTGTTATACCCGAGCGCACTTGTGCACAAGGGTATTATAACTTTGTTCACATAACGGTTGTTTGTAACAGGCAAAACGAATCGAGATAGATATAGACAAATGTATACATAAATGATCAGAATGAAAAGAGAAATCGATTAAGCGGTGACTGTCTGTCCGTCCGTCCGTCCGTCCGTCCGTCCGTCCGTCCGTCCGTCTGTGCACACGATAACTCGAGTAAAAATTGAGATATCTTAACGAAACTTGGTACGTGGACTTCTTTTGGGCATGGGACGGGTGGTATTGAAAATAGGCGAAATCGGACAATAACCACGCCTACCTCCCATATAACGGTAATTTTCAGTAATACGAAAAGTGCGATATTTTAGTAACCACTGAAGATAATTCACTGAAAATTGATATTTACAATGAGGTTTAGACGAAAAATAAGAATATTAAAAAATTTTGGCAAATGGGCGTAGCCACGCCTACTTATCGTTACATGCGTATATCTTGGTAACCGCTGCACCAATTTCTTCCAAACTTGGCACAGTTGTTGGTCCTGCTACAACATACCAAATGGCCGAAAATTTTTAAAATCGGACAATAACCACGCCCACATCCCATATAACGGTAATTTAGAAAAATACGAAATCCTCGATAAATCAGTAAATATTAAAGCTAATTTATTCAAAATTGATGGTTGCAACAATTTTTTACCAAGAAATACGCTTATGATACAATTTTGGAAAATGGGCGTGGCACCGCCCACTTATGATCACATATATGTATCTCGCTAACCGTTCTAGCAATTTGAACCAAACTCGGTATGGTTATTGTGCTTGCCACATAAAAGCAAAGCGCTGAAAATTATTGAAATCGGACTAAATTACGACCGCTTTTCATATAACGGTATATTTCAGTAATGCTTGAAACTTCAATATTTCGAAATTTAAGGACGCTAATTTACTTAAAATTTATACACCCCGGCTTATCGTGTAGCGGTAGTTTTCGGAAAGGTGGAAAACATATATTTAATAATTGCGCCGGGTATTTAATGTTCGGCTCCGCCCGAACTTAGACTTTCTTACTTGTTTGTAAATGATTTTGCTCGCGCTGTCCCAATAGTCCCAATGGCCGAGTGAACAAAACACTGGCATGTCATTCGAGTGATCCCAGGTGCGAATTCTCGGGAAGCTGATTTTTTTGTTCTGTTTTTAATCTATTGTTTTTAGTTTTTTTCCTTTATTTTTAGATTTTATTGTTTGAAAAGAAATACATATGCATATGTTCTTCATTTCATTTTTATTTAATTTTTCTCTTTTTAATTTAATTTTTTTATTTTTTGTTTTTCAGTTTTATTGTGGCTTATTAACATTTTAGTTTAATATTGTTGCTTTTCCATTTTTCCTAATAATCATAATGCTGTGCAAAGCTTAATAAAAATTATTATTTTTTTTCAATAAATTTTTAGAAATGTACATATATTTTTTTCTTCTTTCCTTCATTAAATTTTTTCTTTTATAATTATATTTTCTGTTAAATTTTAATTTTATTGTTTAAAAAAGAACAATATTTCTTGTTTAATTTCATTTAAATTTTAGGAGCTTATTTTTTTTAATTTTGATTTCTTTTGATTATTTTGTTTCAACTTATTATTATTTTTTTGTTTATTATATCATTTTAAAAACTACTATTTGGTTATTTAATTTTATTTTTAGGTACTGATTATATTTTCCTTTTTAATAAATTTAATTTAAATTTTTGGATTTTATTGCTTTAAAAAGAAATGTATTTGTTAGTATCATTTAATTTTTTGAAGTTTATTTTATTAGTTTTTCTTTTTTGATAAATTTCTTTTTTTCTATTTTCAATTAAATTTTCTTTTAAGTTTTCTTAAGTTTTAGCCATTATTTTTTTTAAAAACAAATATAATATAATTTATAATATAATTTTTTTAATTTCACTAAATTTTACTTATTGCGAAAAGACAAACAGAATAACGATAAAGCCTCCTTGTTAGCCTTTCGAAAGAAAGAAAAGAGCTTTCATGATAGTTAATAGAATTGACAATTGTCTCACGAAAGGCTTTTATCTTGTTTGGCGATTCCTTAAATGCGAATGTATCAAATTATCTAACAGGGAAGTACTGCATAATAATAATAATAATAGATTGCCGCTTACTCTTATATGTTGGTGTATGGCCGAGCTTCTTCTCCGATTTGTGGTGTGCGCCTTGCTGTTGTCACACAAAGGGAAGGAACCGTTTTATTCCCTTTGTAGTGCTTCGAGTTATACCTTCGAAGGTCTTCCTGATCCATTTCCAATATGAAATGCTTAATGTAGTTTTCTATATTTGAAAAAATGGAGTTTACATTGGGTGGAAGAAAAATTGGATATTTCTGACTAGAGGGCAATCATTTTTGCTTGAATTATTTATTCAGATTTCACTGAGGGTTATTCGGGTAGAAGACATACATACATATACTGCGCCGTTACTACTTATGAATGTTCCGGTTAGTCATTACATAACTTAAGTATGTATATACGTCCATGTACTGCAGAAATTCATAGTTCTTTTAGTTGAAGAACTCACCAAAAAACTTTCGAAAATCAAAGCATTCGCATTTGCAAAGCAGAAAATTTAATTCGATTTCAATTCCTTACTTCGTGCCGAAACTTTTCACTTGCAAACATACACACTACAAACTAAAGTACTAAACTACCAACTACAAAGTACTAAACTACATACAAACCAAAGTACGATGGGTACTCCCCTACGAGTATGTAATGCAAGCAAAACTTCCTATTCCATTCAAATAACTATTTGACTTGCAAAACTGTGACTAACTAAGTTTTTAGTTGTGTTGCATAACTACGTAAGTATTTGTGTAAAGATGGATTGATAAAAAAGCATTCAAAAGAAAATATTATATTTTTGCTTTCGGTTGCTAATGCTGTTTAATGTTCTTATTGTTTTTGCCACAAAGCCAAAAAGTCAGCATAAACAAAGTTTGCAGACGTTATCGATTCTTAGCGCGAGTCTGAATGAAAACAAATGAAACAATGAAACGTTTTAGAATACGAAAATTGCATAAATTTCTAGCGCATACAGTGGCATTGTGGAGTGATAGAAGTGTGTACATTTGTATAGATACTTGTATGTAGTTTCTAGTAGTGGATGCCTTGAAGGAATGGCATAGCTTGGCCTACTGAAGTAGTGACAGCGAAGTAAGATTGTACAAATTATGTAGTGGTAAGTGAGTTCGAGAACAGATCCTTATTAGTTAATGCAATCGAAGCAAACCTACGGCACCACTTAGAGAATTTCCAAACACGCTGAGGAGAATACTAAGTTCTATTAACTGTTTCAGTACCAGAGAAATACTGGCCCCAAAGAGTTTTACTCGCAACGATTTTTGTTGATTCGGCTTCCGAAGGACCAAATGAAAAACGCTGATGAGTACCGGGGTGAATATTTGACGCACCAGTATTTTATTTATAAAAAATAACATTAAAACAAAGCGAAATATGTATTTTTTATTCAAAATCAATGTTGATAAATGTGTTATATTTAATAATAGTATTACCTGTAGTGAAAGTGCCTGGTAGCTGCTGGTCTGCACAAGTAGATCTTTTAAACCGAAGTATCGGCGGACAATAATTGACTTAACATAATACTTAAAAAAGCTTCATTGTCCGCTGAGAAACACTAATTAAAGACGCGTATTTGTGTTTATACATATGCTAACATTAGGTCGGATCACAAAATGGAAATGTTTGGGCTGTAGGCCTAGATAGAGTTATTTTTTTAGGTTCTTAGGAAAAAATTATATAAATTTACTAGATTCACTCCAGTTCGATATTTAGTGGGTATACTTGGAATGCACACGGTGGGCAGGAAGCAAAGATAGGTTGCATAAAAATGTCGACAAAAACTGAAAGCCGGGTTGTATTTGTTGATATTTTTAGGTTAAGAATCCCTTTGAATTGAAATCCTAGCTGCTCCTGTTTTAAAGATATCCACATTTTACATAGTTATGATAGGACCGACTTTTGCGAAAGAGAAAAACATCCTTGTGAATTAAATATTCAACAATGTATGTGTGAGTAAATGTGTGTATATATATATTATGTGAAAATATAAGTTTATGTAAGTTTTTAGCCGGTTTCAATCGTTTCCAAGGCGCACCACGTAGACGCAACTTACTTTGCACCTCTTTGTTCTTTTTTTGGTTTTTTTGGTTTTATTTTTTTTATATTTTTTTCTTGCTTTATTTTTTTATATTTGTTTTTTGTTTCCTTTTATTTTTTTTGTTGGCTTACCATATAATATAGTCACGCATTTTAGTATTTAAATATTTTATTATTTAGTTAAGTTTTTATATATGCTGGAATGAAAATGTCATTACAGTTTTCTTCAGGCGACTCACAAAAGTTGGTTTATCAATCATATTTATTTTGAATCTATCCCAGAATTTAATGAATTCCCTATGAACTGACTTCCCGGCCTGCTCGGACCATAACCCTAAACCATCGTTATTCAAGAATGAAATAGATTGCTTTAAATGTTTAAGGATAAAATGGATTTTGACAGTTTGAGAAATTC